CACACACACACACACACACACACACACACACACACACACACACACACACACGAACGCACACAAGAAAGCCAAAGTGAACACGGTTTGGAAAGGGATTTAAACTTTAAACGCTTCTATTATGCCTCGATGTTGCTTGCTAGAGAGCTAAAACCGTTCATTGTTGGATTGTCTAGATCAAATCTTTCCGTTGTCTGCAATTAGATTGAGCTAAAACTGTTCACCATTGGATATTGTCTAAATGAAATGTTTTCGTTGTCTGCAATAGGATTCAATTGAAGCTGCTTTGATTTTGGATCGAATCATCTCGGTGGAATAGGGGCTGTTGTGGTGAAAATTTCAAAACACTCACACGCACAATTGTAGTATCAAATGTTTTCGTTGTCTGCAATTGGATTAAAGCTGCTTCAATTTTGGATCCACTGATCTGCTAGTGGGTGGCATCAGGGCTGTTCTGTTGTGGTGTAAATTCAAAAGACACACGTACAGTCGTAGTATCTACAAGATGCTTTTCTTCCTCCCGAGTCCATCTTTGTGTTTTGTTTATGTGTACCTTGTGTGTGCTCCGGCCTTTTCCTGTCTCCTCCTCACTGTGTCAGTCCAGCACCTTCAAGATGTGCTAAACAGTCGGTGCAGGTCCAGTCTGTTAGGAATGCCTGCAGTATTGTGTCAGTCCAGCACCTTCGAGATGTGCCAAACAGTCGGTGCAGGTCCAGTCTGTTAGGAATGTCTGCTGTAGTATCACAGAGGCTGTTGTTTTGGGAATGCTGTGAATCTGTGTCCACAGTGGTGATAATGGACATCTCGATGGTAGTAGTGTGAATCTACGGCCTACAATTCTTCGACTTCTACTTTTGGTGTGGGTAGTCGATGATTGACTTTGCACTGTGCTGTATGTGCGAACTGCCTTATTAGTGTTGCCCGTCCTCTTGCCTTCTCTAGGTTTGCTGCTTGCGTGCTTGCCTTGTCTTGGCTCCCCATCCTGCTGCTAGGCCTTGTTGCTTGCCTGCCGACTGCCCTCGGTCACTATGCCCCCCTCCACCATGCGAAATTGTCTGGTTGCCGCCGTGCTGCCGCCCTGTTCCCACTGTGCTACCCTCGTGACCCCTCAGGTGATTCTGTCTTTTTTCCCTTCAAAGTGTGCTTCTTAGCCTTCTTCGCCTTTTGCCTTTCTGGGTTTTTTTTTTTTTTTTTTTTTTTTTTTTTCCCCTTTAAATTTTTTTTTTTTTTTTTTTTTTTTTTTTTTTTCCCCTTTGAAACAATCGCATCATTTTTCATTATCTGAGCAACAGGAGGCCGGGAATCCCCCTCTCATCTCAACCCCAAATTCTGGGGCCGCCAATACCGGGCCCAGCTTAGGCTCATACTGGAAAACGGGTCGAGTGTCCCATGGTTGGAAATCCCAACATGCGATCCCCAAAACGAAACATTGAACCTGGACAAACAACAGGTCAAGCAGTGACGAAGAGGAGGAAGAAAACTTCAACGAAAGCAGACAAGAATCGAACTATCATATCTCCGCGCTTGTGTTAGCTGGTCCCCCCCACTGGCGGCCCCAACCCTGCACAAACCAAATGCTAGTGCAAAGGGGCAAACATGCTAATTCCCTCCCTCCACCAAGAGAGGTAGCCTCCCTTCACCGAAGAGAGGTAGAAAGCTATGCTTCCAGGGGTCCCCATTATTATACCCTAAAGCTATGCTTCCAGGGGTCCCCCCATTATTATACCCTAAAGCTATGCGCGCAGGGTTGGACGTCCCCCTTCGTACCCGAAAGCTACACTTGCAGGGGTCCCCTGTATAGCCTTAGGTGTAGTGCTAGGTAGGTAGTGAAATGTTAAAACGATATGTCCCATGACATATTGCAGAACGCCCGAGTCGACATGAAATATGTGACGTGAGCGAAAATATGGGTCTCAATAGTCAAGGATGTACTGTTTTGTACTGTTTCGTACAGATGTATTCATGGGACGCTGGGCCCGGTTCCCAGCAGGTGAGGCTCCCCACCAATAGACGGAGCGGCCCGCCAGGCAAAGCCTCAATCCCGGTGGTTCTCTTACCACCGCCAGGATAGAGGCCTTGTATAAGGGCCTTGCGAAAAAAAAAAAAAAAAAGGGTTACCTCTGTTCTGACATCCTCCTCCTCGAATGACGCTGGAAGGGGTGGGCTTCAATCCCTCCCTCAGCACACGCTGCCCTGAAAGGAGTCAGACTAATGGCCAGACCCGACTGGCAAGGAGGGTTGGAATATGAGGTGGCTGAATCTGGACATGTTCCACACAGACATAAAGAGAAGCAGATCAGTTACAATTTTCTGCACACCTCCACGAACATGTCCACATTCACACACTTATAATTCCAATCCCCTCTCTTTGCCAGTGGGGTCTGGCCCTAATTCTGACTAGTATGCCAACCACAGCACGACTTGAACTTCCTTGTAGCCACTGTCCGAGTGTGTCCCTGCGCCTGTTTTATGTGGACAAAAAGAAGAAGAAGAAAAAAAGGCGTTTTTTGTTTTAATTACTTAAACGTTGAAGTTAAATGTTCTTTCCTAGCAGGGGATGGAAGGAGTGGAGGTCCTCTTGCGAAGACCAACCAAGGGGGGGGTGGGCGTGGGGGAGGGGGGCAAGCCGGCTACCTCGACTGGCAAAACTGAAGCATGTCACAGGGGCACGTGCAGAGTAGAATGGATGATGTGGGGAATGGAAACCACAACCTCCTGAGTGCCACTTACGTGCTCTCTACCAACTGAGCTAGCCTGCTTGCCCTCTTTAAATTTGCCCTTCTTTCCTTTTTTACCCTTCTTTGCCTTTTGGCCTTTTTGCCTTTTTGGCCTTTTTGCCCCCTCAGGTGATTCTGTCATTTTTTCCTTTTAAATTTCCCTTCTTTCCTTTTTAATTACCGCTCGTTGTTTTTTTCAATTTTTTTGCCGACCTTTTGCCTTTTTCTGCGGTGAAGTCCCACCGCCCAAGTTGAGTTTTCTCAACGCTGAGCTTCCTTTCTATCTCGTGTGGCGTGCTGGGACGGAACAGAGCTCTGCCTTTGATGTTGATGTATTGCGAATCTAATGGTGGTACCGAAGTACAGGAGAATAACCTATAATTAGATCTGGTCGTTTTGTAGATTTTGGAGAATAACCTATAATAATAATAATTAGATTTGGTCGTTTCCTTCTTTGGGCAATGAACGCATTTGGCCGTCCATGCTGTCCCTGTCCATTTTACAAAAGGTGACCTCCTGTCCCCTCACCACGGGGGTATCCCTTTTCCACAGAGACATTCACTTCGACTGTTCCAGACGTGTTTCATTTCTCCGAGATACGTTATAAAAAATAAGGAGAAAAGCTGCTTCTAACTTTCTAGCATTTGTTTTTTCAGTTTTTTAATTTCTTGTTTCAAATTTATTAATGTCCAAACGGTGTCGCACCATTGCGTTTTCCAAACTCAACTTGGGCGGTGGGAGCAGCGACTTCAGGTTGGCACCTTTTTTTTTTTATGATTACATTAAAAAAAAACTAGGACACTCACTAGGCTACCAGCCGGGCGGGCCGGGTCACCTTGTTTGCCTGGGGGGGGCGGCCATGCAAGGACCAAGGAGGGTGTCAGCATTAAAAAAAAAAGGAAAAAAAAAAAAAACTGTCATTCAACTATGTTATGCAGAAAAATAAACTGAACATTCTTTGCTACAGAGTCACATCGAAGTTCTCCACCAAATTTCAAATAGAAAATAAAATTGAATCTGGGTGGGGTTCCGGGCTGCCCGGCAGACCGGCGGGGGCCCGGGTGGGGTCCCGGGCGGCCTGGCCGGGCAGTGCACCCGATCGGTCCCCGGCCCCCCCCAGCGCACAGGGTATTTCGGGGTTTTTTTACCCCATTTCGAACTCTGGTGGGCTCCCGCAGGCCTACCGGGTCCGACCGGCCCAAAAACCCACGGCATCGGGCCCGACAGGCCTGTGGGAGTGGGTTTGAAAATTGCGGCGGGTCTGTGGCGGTCGATCCGCCGTCATCGACGGCCATAGAGCCGTCGCAAGTTTCCCGCCCAGATTTATATGGCGGCGATCTTTCCCACAGCCCATCCGTGGGTGTTCGCTGGAGCTGCCCCCTTCAACCCGCAGCCTTTTGAGGTTGCGCCGCCCGTTGTTGTTCGCTGGAGCTGCCCCCTTCGCCCGTCATTCGTCGTCGCCGTTCGCAGGAGCTCGTCTTCCTCMCCCGCCGCTCGTCATCGTCGTCAGCTGGAGCCGGTCGTCGTTGCCTATTGCCGTTTGCAGGAGCTGCCCCCTTCGCCCGTCGCCGTTCGCAGGAGCTGCCGCCATTCTTCTTCTTCTTCTTCTTCTTCTTCTTCTTCTTCTTCTTCTTCTACTTTTGCTTGTGTACCGTGGACGTTGGTTAGGTCGCGCGAGACTCGGAAGGTAAGAAAAACAGAAGGGAGGCCGTCAGGCACACATCTTCTTCTTCTTCTTCTTCTTCTTCTTCTTCTTCTTCTTCTCCTTCTTCTTCTTCTTCTTCTTCTTCTTCTTCCCGCACTATCTTTCTTCTTCTTCTTCGTCTTCCCCTTTGTCCCCCCCCCTCTTCTTCTTCTTCTNTTCTTCTTCTTCGTCTTCCCCTTTGTCCCCCCCCCTCTTCTTCTTCTTCTTCTTCTTCTTCTTCTTCTTCTTCTTCTTCTTCTTCTTCTTCTTCTTGCATCAGTTGACCTTCGGCAGTGAACGACAATCTTTATCTTCTTCGGCCTTCTGGCTGTTTGGGGCAGGGCACATCTTCGGCAACCTTAGGCAGTTGTCGCGAACGACGAACGGAAAAAAAAAAGGCCATCCTCCTCCCCCTCCTCCGCTCCTCTTCTCTTCTTCTTCTTCTTCTTCCTTCTTCTTCTTTATTCTTCTTCTTCCTTCTTCTTCTCCCTCCTTCATCGTCCTCCTCCTTCCTCCTTCTTCTGCCTCCTTCTTCTTCCTTCTTCCATCTCATTTTGCCATCCATCCATCCCATCTCGCCATCCATCCCTTCTTCCTCCTCCTTCTTCCTCCTTCTTCTTCCTCCTTCTTCCTCCTTCCTCCTCCTTCCTCCTTCTTCCTCCTCCTTCTTCCTCCTTTCTCTTTCATTGCATCCCGCCATCCATCCCACCATCCCATCTTGCCACCCATCCCATCATCCCATCTCGCCATCCACCCCTTCTTCCTCCTCCTCCTTCCTCCTTCTTCGTCCTCCTCATTCCTCCTTCTTCTTCCTTCTTCTTCTTCCTCCTTCTTCCTCCTCCTCCTTCCTCCTCCTTCTTGCTCCTTCTTTTTCCTCCCCCTTCTTCCTCCTTTCTCTTCCATCGTATCTCGCATCCCATCTCGCCACCCCTCCCACCATCCCATCTCGCCATCCACCCCTTCTTCCTCCTCCTTCCTCCTTCTTCTTCCTCCTTCTTCCTCCTTTTTCCTTCTTCTTCTTCTTCCTCCTCCTTCCTCCCCTCTTTCTTCCTCCTTCTTCTTCCTCCTTCTTCTTCCTCCCCCTTCTTCTTCCTCCTTCCTCCTCCTTCTTCTTCCTCCCCCTTCTTCCTCCTCCTCCTTCTGTCACATCTCGCCATCCATCCCACCATCCCATCTCGCCATCCATCCCACCATCCCATCTCGCCATCCATCCCTTCTTCCTCATCCTCCTTCATCCCTCTTCCTCCTCCTCCTCCTCCCTCCTTCTTCCTTCTTCTTCTTCCTCCTTCCTCCTCCTTCTTCCTCCTTCTTCTTCCTCCCCCTTCTTCCTCCTTCTTCCTCCTTCTTCCTCCCCCTTCTTCCTCCTCCTTCTTCCTCGTTCTTCTTCCGTCACATCTCGTCAGTGTTCTTCTTCTTCTTCTTCTGGTCAGTCTTCTTCAATCTATGTCAGTCTAAGTGTCGTCAGCATGCATGCAGCAGACATCCCAACAGCAGGCAACAAACATGCAGAGCCCCCAACACTGCACATATTAGATGACCTGCATTCAGCATTCAGCATTCAGCAAACAACATGCATGCAGAGCCCCCCCCACCCCCCCCCCCCCCTAGCCTGTACCACGACCCTCGACCCCCAAACAAGCCACGAGCTCCGCACGAAGCCGAGGTCGAGGCC